TATAACAATAAGTTACTGATTCTATGAAAAGTTTTAAGTGGCCCGGTGTCTGACTTGTGGCTAGGGGAGAGTGGGACACATTGGTCCCACTGCGAAGTACATTGGCAAGTTTCACTGGAATAGAGCAAATAATGAAGTGAGATTTCTCAGACTCTAGAAAAAGCTATGACTACACCACGATGACCCATTTTCTGAAAGGTTTGGTGAAGTTCGCTGGCAACCATCGCACTGGCCAGGGTTTTAACATATTTTCAGCAAAAATGATACCTTAAAAACCCATAGACTAAACTAAAGGTAAAGACAAAATGTGTATTTACTCTAATCAGCTCATTTCGAGCTATGCAACATACATGTTCGGTTGCGATCCGAGTTACAGAGCGAGCGCCTGCCGCGTCAGTGTGAGGCAGCTCCAGTTACAGTGGGGCGCGTGCCCCTCCCCTCTCTCCTCCCTATGTCCCCCGGCCCGTCGGGTCCGTCCCGCGCCTCGCCCCGCCGGTACAGATCGATTGGGCTCCGCTCCTGTTCCGCGTCGCTGTCCCTGTACACCTCCTCGGTACTCGCCGCCCCCTGGTTGCTCCGCGGTCTTTGGTGCGTCACCCACTGTACACCCGGCCGGGTGGTGGTGGGCCTGGATCAGCCCGGGGGTGGCCCACCCACCCGCTGCCGCTGCCGCCGCCCCCTGCGCCGCCCCCCGCGCCACCCCCCGCCGCCGGGCCACCTCCTGGCGCCCGTTGTGCGCCCGCCCCGATTACAGGCGCAACACGCTATATCGCATCACTCAAAGCCAGACAGGCCGTGATGAGAGTTGACCGGGACGCGCCAAATTCAAACTCGATGAGTTCGACCGGCGCTGTTACGTTATAGCGAGACGGTGATTCGTGCCTCGGCGAGGCTTGTCTGTCGAACCCGGCCGCCGAGAGGGCGCCTCTCTGGTGAGTCGCCGACTCGACGGTCGTGACCGCCAGTCACCAAATGCGTACGACTTGTGTATTGTGCGCCGCCAGTCTTTGGCCGGCCTCGATGCCGACGCCTGTCCGGTGCAGCAGTGTGCATCAGCCGGCGGGGCTGGCGGGGCGCCTGGCGACCGCGGGGTAGGCAGCGCCGCACGACTTGGCGGCGCTGCGGGCGAGGCTACCCCGCTCCCCACCCAGCCGGAAACGGAGCGCGAGGAAAGCAGCGGAGCCGGACCGGAAGTAGTGCGGGAAGGACGCCCTCCTCTTCTCCCCCCCCCCCCGAAAAACCAGATGAGACGCTAAACAAGTAAACTGGCCCAGCGGGTGGTAGATCCCCCGGACAGTTCGTAGTTGAAGCGGAAGGCTACGGGGCACGCCCCTTTGAGGGCCACTCTGTAATTAGACCGTTACGACTATCGGTTCTTCAAAAATGCATGCGGGTCGCTCTCCCTCCCCCTCCCCTCCCCCTCTCCCCTGCCCCCTCCCTTCCACCACCGGGGTGGTGAGTGAACACCGGACCACCCTCTCCCCCTCCTCTTATCACCGGGGCCACAAAGCATGTCGAACGCCCGTCGCCGGGGCGGGAGTCGTCGACAAGACTATCGGGAAGTGCGAGTCATAAATTTTTCGTGAAAGCACCCTCTTCCCCTCCACCCCGGCCTCACCGCTACCGCTACCCGCCCGGTGAACCCCGCATACCACCCTTCACCTGCCACCTCTCTCGCGCGATGCACCAGATGTACTACTACTTAGTTCAGAGCTTGTCAATCTCTTATCCTCTCAGCTCAGCTCTACGCTCAACCTACCACCCATGGCGCGTTCAGTTTAAACCAAAGCAAGCAAACTTAATATTTTGAGGGGGAAATTGTGGTGTTCTTAAACGGCTAGTAATTGAAATAGTTAGGGACACAACTTAAATCTGATAAAAATTGTTATTTAATTTAAGTTATCCTATTTATCACTTATTAAAACTCTAACCGTTTATATAGTATAGACACAAAAATTCTGACAAAAAGGAGTAAAGTTTTCATGACTTGGTCTTCGTTATTTGTAGACTTGTTTTTATAGAATCGAACGATTCATAGGGCTGTAGAAGAAGGGGGAAAAGGGGGGAAGTTCACGGCAAGTTGGTTTCGTTCAGACGCGTGTGAGCCTCTCCAGAACGAACCACTCTCACAGTACGTGTTGCTCTTCTCTGAAAGATTCGACGAGTGTTCAGCAACATCTCGCTTCGTCGAAAGGGGTTTCATTGTCTATACGCACCAGGTTCGGGTCGCACGACGTGAACTCGGGCGACACGGGGTCGAAGCGCGCGTGGAAGTCGTTGAGGTGGACGACGGACAGCGTCCAGTTGGCCGCGCCTTCGTCGCCGTCGTCCAGGCCGCGGGGGCGGCGGTCCTCGGCGGGCAGGGCCAGGGCGGCGGCGGCGCGCGCGAGCACGAGCAGGCCCAGGGCGGCGCCGGCGGAGCTCCAGGAGGACCTCATGGCGCTGGACTGACGAACGAACAGCTCGGCTGACACTGACGGCCCTCCTCCGGCCAGCCCAGCCGGGCGCGGGCGGCGCGAGGGGCACTCAGCGCACGGCGACCGGTTCAGTATCTCAGCACTGTCCAGCCCCGCGTCGAACACGACGACAGCCCTTATCGTCACGGCGAGCGCCTTCCTACTCTTCCGAGACTGTCTTCGGCAGAGACGTCGACGTTCTGCTGTCGTTTCGACACACTCTCGGGGGTGCTGCTGCTCACCTAATAGGGTGTCCCAGAATTCATGTTTTGTCACGACTCGGGTATGGCTCCATAGCTCGGATTTGGACGGAACGTGGCCAATCCGCGAGGCAGAGAAAATTATCTTTCAAACGAGGCACGTTCGGTTGAAATTCGAGATCGGGGGCACCATACCCAAGTCGCGCTACATTAAGCTTCATTTTGGCACACCGAAGCGTCCCCGCCCCCAGCCTCAGAGTTCACCGATGTACTCAACCTCCCAGTTGTGCAGGCGCGGAGTTCCAGTGCGCGAATGGCCACCCGGGGTGATCTTGTCGAACTCTCGTCAACTCGCCGATCGACGACCGTCCGGTGGGCCGTGCAACCTATCGCGGGCCGAGTTCCGTTGTGCGCTCGCCCCGGGGGAGCTGCTGTACTATCAGCTGTCCAAGTGCGGAGTACTGTCACGACGGGCACGGTGACAAATCCCAAAATATACAGACTCGTCACGAGTTGAAACAAGAAAATAGGGCCCAAAATCGGCCGTTGTGTCGTGTGCTGCCGCGGCGGGCGAGCGCGCAGCTCAGCGATAGGGGGGCCCAGAGGAGGTCGGAGGACTCGAGACCCAGCCCGACCGACACCGACGACGGCCTACCTGAGAGGATCTCGTTCGAGTTCAAATTCTAAACATCGGCCAATCAGAAATGACTGCTTGACCGGCTCACCTTTTCCACGCGTGGGCTCGACCGCCCAGCCTTCACCCCCTCTTCACTCTCACGCCGGCTTTGCCATTTCTTTTCACCCGAATACAGCTTGGTAGCTTGGTTGTGCCAACTGCCGGCTCCAACCTGCGCGGCAAAAGCCTCGCACAACCGGCGGGCACCACAAATCGACTCAATTTTAAATGAGTGTAGCCAGAAAAAAAATCGTCGTCTAAATATTTGGTCAGTTCGACGTGACATGGTTCAATATCGAGTCTGCACGCAAAGCGCCTTGTGGGTAGGCTACCGCAACTCTCTCACACACGCGTGTCGTTTGGGATTGCCTATCCGGGGAACGACAGGCGTTTTGGGGGAACCCGGCGCCAAAATCTTTCAGCTCTTCAGTTTAAATTTGTCATCTGTTGGTTACGGACCATGTTTTTAACCATGGTCACATCCCAGAGAGCCAAGGGTACCTCACTCCAGGGATTGGTGCCTGGGCCTGGACGGACATCCAATACTGATTGGAGCTTAGAGTTCAAAAGAATAAAATAAGTGTGATGTTCTGGTTCTTGATCATGACAATGAAGATGTTGGACCACAAAATATTGGTCAAAAGGTGAGAAGATGAAGGAACAAGGCGAAGCCTGTCAACTGAGACTCAGGTGGCTGTGAGCAACAACTGGTTTATTAGACCATTGCATGGTACAGGTAAACAGGGTTGCCTCCATACATAAAAATAAGAGCCTTGGCAAAAGGGCTACATTTTTGTGTATAATGTGATTTTACAACAGAGATAATCAATTTGAATCTGATTGCCTTATTTTACGAATGTTTAAGTACAAAGGGTTGCCGTAAAAGCAATGATTGACCAACAAAATCAGTACAAAATAATATGGAAATAAATAGGGCATGCAACATCTAAAACAAAACATAAAAATTATTGTCAAATGCATGTTGACAGAGGCTGTAACAGTTATATTCTGATACATTCAGGATTTTTTTATCAATTAAAAACACAAATTATTCTAATTTATACACCATTTAGATCAGAATTACTAGGATCATATAAGGGTAAAGGCACATTTTCAATTATTTTCTTTACAGGAGCTCTACCTTTCAATGCCTCTTGATAGACATTGAATTTTTGTAATAGGTCCTTTGTTTGTATTGCTTCCTCTGGTGAAGCTGCCACAACCTATTTGAACAGAAAAATACTTGTTTTTATTGAAAAAAGAGTAAGGCAAGAACTTATTTGCCTATGTTATCATCGTCCATTACCAAGAAATTGCATGATGAAGAAGATGGATTGACCATTTCTTTCTTGACAATTGTTGTTTCTGGCTCTGCTAATATTTTCCTCTTTCTCTTTCCACTCTTCCCTTCAGGCACAATTTTCCTCTCTTCATTTTTATGATCCCGTTCAGGGACCATACAAATTTTTACGCCTAATTTACTTCTTCCTAGCACATTACCTCTAAAAACATAAGAAAAAAACAACAGAAAATTGAATAAAATAAATTGGGGAATAGATAGATACAATAGTATGTGTATTTGAAAAAAGAAGGTACCTTTCATTCTCCAAGGTAAAAATTATGTCCATATCAGAGCGACTGCAGGAAGTGAGGCACATAAACTTATAGTTTATGAGGCTGTACGCCATACCCTCATGCTGTTGGAGGGGCACTACAACACTTCTCCTCTCTGAAGAATCGTTCAGACAGTACTTTGAGTTTTCATTTAGACTCATTATGACATGGTCGCTGATTTCTTCACAGCCTGCATTAGAAAGGAATTTTATTACATTCATACACCAATAGTTTTAATTAAATGGATGGGATCGTTCCTTATGTCAAAATACAAAAACTGACCTTTGTTCCAGCTAAAATCTCTATCTCTGTGAACCACACATCGCTTCACTGCTTCTTGAAAACGATTTGCATCACTGAAGACTAACACTGCACGTATGAAATAGGTTTGACTGGCATGAATAGGGGTTGGAATGCTCCACATAACTTTGAATGGGATAACTTTATCTGGTTTCACAAATATCTTGTTTAAAGTTGGAGAAAACTGTGAAAGCATGAATCAAGTGAGATTTAAAGAAATATAGAGTAGATAGTTGTGGCCACGGCTCAAGAATAAATACCTTGAAATATTGCGACTTATTCCCGACTTGGATAGAAAAGGAAAATGATCCAAGAAAATTATCTGTTGGTGGAAGAGTTCCAGTGGCACTACTCAAACAAGTACTGGCAATCGTTTCTTCAGGCTCAGGTGGGGGAAGAGTTGTAGAGGCAGAATCACAACTCGGATAAACTTCAGATTCAGGCTCAACCTTCGGCAATGGCAAAGGCCTGGTCTCATTGCTTACAGTAACGTAATCCCGACACATCTGTAAAAATTTGAATACAATGTCATGTGTCTTAGTGTTAGAAATAGGCAGTTAGGGGGACTGACCTCATTCTTCAACTCTTCAAGGGTATCACAAGGGTGCTCCACTTCTCCTTGTACTGCATTCCTAGAGATAAATGGATAAATGTCAGGTAAAACAAACCAAAAATAAAATCCCATTGCAACAAGTGGTTTGTCCATGTCCCATGGAATGGAATGGGACCTGACAGGATACCACACACTATACAAACAGAGGGCCCAAAACACTCACCATAATTCTTGAAAAGTCTCCTGACTGAAAATTTCGGACACTTGGGACTCTTGTGACGACATTGTTGCGGCCAGCCTACAGCCTAGCACCGTAGGACCCTAGAACAAACGCCTTCCCTAGCGGGCCTGGGGTCCCCCTGGTAACTTTTAACCCTTTCAGCTGTTGTCGTTAGGTTTTGGTTGGCGAGAGCAAGGAGAAGGCGCTGACGCTATTCGCATTTCACACTCAAGGCAGGCCGGCTTTATTTGCACTAACATAATACCTCTTTATTCACAGCAGATCAGTTGTCAATCTGATATCCGCTATTGTTTAGACCGTCAGTAGCCTGTATTTTCGTGTCTTTTATATGCCATAGTCGAATTCCTGAGCAATGGGGTGCTGTTGGGGCAGCTGTAAGGAGGATAGCGCATCACAGGTAGGAGTCCATGTATTGTTGCAAATATTGTCTCGTCATGTCGACTGGAGCCTACTTAGGGTTAGGATTTCACTGGGCGTCAGCAAGAACGCTGTGTCTAGTGTCTTTTCTCAGCGTTACTAGTTCAGGACGTTTTTGAAGAACCCTTTTCATTGTTCCTTGATTTATTTTGACGTAATTTTGCACAAGTTTGATGCCTGTTTTTCATACTGGCAGGGCGGAGATGCTAGTGAAAGAACTCACTTACTGGTGGACCCAGTCAGCAACAACACTCCAGCTCAGAGAGCCAACAGGTAAGCAATAATCTTGTTCGGCACTTCATTTCTCTAATGCATTTAGTTACTAATGTATATTATTCAATGTTTCACAGTGATGACTTCATTTCTCGGTACCCTAATTCTGTGCCTAAAAAAACTGATGAACAGTCCGCATTGAGCAGGATATTGCAAGAAACAGCCACGTAAGGAGACGCTACTCTCATTTGTACTTTTTAATATTTCTTCTTGATGTGTTGGCCTTAATTTAAGCATATCTTCAATTTGTTTTTCAGTAATGTTATTGATGTTGCTGCGTTAGATTCTCATAATTTAGAGCAACATGAGTATAAAGAGCGCACAAAACAATATCAACAGCGACTTATGCAAGGATCAGGTCAACGTTGGAATTTGAGCTCACCATCTTTACTTGTTGATATCCCAATGCCAGAGAAGGTACTTGCAGCTCTGCCTCTCAGCTATGCTGATATGGACTTGGTGAGTTATTCAAGTTATTAACAAATTGCTTTATGCCATTAAATGTGTTTTAATTAATTTACTCTTGTTCCTGTCTTACAACTAGATATCAACAACAGTTCTCCATGCTAACATGGCCCTAGATGAACTGAAAGTGGAGCATAAAGAGGATCTGGTTGTCCCATTCAGAATCCCTTGACTTCCTGAGTGATTTCTGAAAATTATGTTGTGTTCCTTTGTTCAGTAATGTTTATGGATTTAGAAGTGTTGTTTCTCTACTTCAATTACTAAAGTCATTTATATTTACATATATATTTTATAAAGAAAGATCAGGCCATCAATTCTGCCACTGGTGTAAATAATGTTAGTAATCAGTCATACTCATATGTGATATTTTTAGGATGAATAGAATGTGGGTTCTGGTGGGATATTTACCACATGGTCTCCATTCCACATGACTGACTAATGTTACTTCTTACTATTTGAAAAACATAGGGTACGTATCTTATTTTTCTTGAAGTCTTTTCCCCATTGCAGAAACTTTTTTAATCTTAAGACAAATTTTGATTGTTACATCTTTTAGTTTAACAAGATGTCTCATTTATTAGGTTTAAAATGTACACTAGCAAAAAATATGACATTTAGTTAGGCAGGGGCTGCTGGCTGTGTAAAATTTAGCATTTTCAAGGGGTTGACAGTTTGTTTTTGTAAGAAAGAATTTGATTTTTCCCTTAATGGTTTCAAGCTGTAAAATACTTAATCATATGTATTTCATTTCAATTTTACAATAATTGTGTTAAAGTATTTTAATCAATTTTCCAACCACAGTAGTTGAAAGGTTTACATAACTGGCAATATTAAAATGGAAGTAATAAAAGTGGATGTCAAATCTAAAATTTTCTTTAATATCCTAGAATCAAATTTTATCAATGGAATACAGGTTTCAGAAAGGAAAGTTAAAATAATTTCTACACACTAACTGTGCTATTGCTTTTTGATGAATTGTTCACTAGGACTGAGGTAACTGTTTCTGCAACAGTTTTCTCACTTACAGGAGATGCATGGAAAAAGTATAACATAAATCCTGCTGCCAAAACTACATGTAGCACCAGAACAACACCTAAAACTACATAACGTTGCGTCTGTATTTGAGAAACAGCTGGCCAAATTGAGGTGACTAAGACAGTAGCAGAAAGACTAGCCCCAGTCAATGCTAGGAGCCATTGAAGCCATGATAGTTGAATCACCCAAAATACTGACACAGGGATGTAGATTGTCAGTGAGTATCCATAGAGGCACAGCAGATCAAGGAAGGAGAGGCGATGCTGCAAAACGGAAGAAAGTCATTTTAAGTACTGTTAGGTACAGAAAACCTCTCGTTTCCAGCGTGTATGACAATACAGAATATGAGACAGTTCCCATTTTGGAAAGCTCAAAATCGTTAAAAGAGGTTGTCATATTTGCCGGAATTAACATTATTTAAATGTAACAAAAAATTACCTCTTCTGGAACCATCCATTGGAGCACGCCCCATAGGCCAAGGGGTACGATCCACGCATAACTATATATAGCAGTGGCAGAAAATGTCACAGCATGAAAGTCATATTTCCAATGATAGTCTACATCCCCAGCAGCTTGTAGATAGTTGGCAAGATTTCCACTTATGGCAATTGAAAAAACTAAGGTTGTACAAATCCAAAATGGACCATACAAGTCTGGCTTCCCGTTGACATGATGCTGTAAGAAACTCTTGGGATATGGGACAACTGCTCCATAGAGACGACTCAAAACTTGATCAGTGTCTACGTCAAAGAGGTTTTGAAAGAAACCGAATGACCAAAACTGAGTTTTCTGACTAGATGCTCCAATACTTTCTTCTAAAGGATTTTCTGTCATCTTTGTTTGGCTGGATGTCATTTCAGAGTCAGACTCAATATCTAGTAAAGCGGACGTCTGCATCGTCCCGTGGGGAATGTCTTGAAAGTCGAGATGGCGATCCATGTCTTCTACTGCAGTTGGTGCAACTATCAGGAAAGTTGAGGTTATGAAACTGCGATTGTTCTAGTTTTCATCAATATCTCAGCTGAAACACGTTAATTATGCGATTCTTTGGAGGTAAGAAGCAGAATTATCAGAGAATTGTGCCCTTTATCGATCACATCACGGCACAGAGAGCGGAGAAGTCACAACAAACAACAAATCTTGTGGTGTTGTCAAAGTTAAAGAGGCCTGTCAGTCTGACAACACCAACATTACACACAGATGAAGAAACGTATAATTCTCGACCATTTTCATACAAATTCTGAGCTTCTCTGCAAATCTATTCCCTACGGAAGAGTAGATGGAATCTTCCAAAATGAAGAAATATACGTCCCTCAGTCGAAATCACCTCTCGCACATGCAGATTTTTAGTCTTTCTACATTTGGTAAAATTGACGATATTTTTACGTCGTCTGCTAAGACCGCCACTTTTCAAAATTTCAAAATCGACAGAAATATCACCGGAATCAGAAATCGGAAGAGAATGAGGGCAATGAGATGTCAAAAAAGAAAAAGAAAATGCAGTGAAACTTAAGAATTGATTAAATAATGGAACAACAATAATAAAGAACAAAGCCAGGGGCTAGTTATATCCGATAAGGCCGATAAGCTGCCGAAGGCGATCTTTGCGATATAACGCTGCGATGTTGCGGCATTCAACTTAATTGGTGAATTGGTTCGAAGGGGATCGGAAAGGTACGGAACGGACGGGCGAATCGAGTCTCTCGTGCGCATCGCATAAGTGCGACTTTTATTCTTTCTTTTTTTTTCCGATGATGATTTTCAGCTGGTGTTGCAGCTGCACTCGGTGCACTGGTGGCAACTGGCAGCTGCCACACCTGACGGTTTACGCGGGCGGTCGCCAACGTCCGCCCCCCACACCCACGGCGTTGTGGCCGACCGGGTACCACGTCACGGAGTACGAGAGTCATGAGGGCGCGTTTAATGGTCGGGAACTCGAGGGGGGGAAGGGGGCGGAGGAGTTGTGGGAGAGCGGGGTGCTCGGGGTGCCGCCCCACCCCGCGGCCCCCGCGGCCGCTGCTCGGCCGCCGGCCCTCCAAGGCCCCTCGCGCCCGGCCGCCGTGCACCCGCCCCCCGCGCCGCCCCCGTCCCCCGTCCCCCGTCCCGCCGCCACGCCCCAGGCGGAGGCGCGGGCCCGCGGGCACACGGCCCAGCCCAGGACGACATGCGGCCGCTCGGCTACCTGGTTCCGCTCATGGTCCTGTGCGCGGCGCTGGGGGCGCAGGTGGCCGGTGAGTTGGTGGACTTGAGGCCGCCGCGTGGCCCGACCCCGGCCAGCCTCCGGCCCCGGTCCAGGCCGTGGTGACTCGCTCCCTCGTTGCAGACGTGGTCGCGGCCGCGAAGAAGACGCCCGCCCCCGCTGCTAGAGGGGCGGCAGCCCTGGGGGCAGCGCCCACAGCCGCCGCCGTCGTCGCGACGAGCCACCAGGCCGGGGCCGGGGCCGGGGCGGGGCCCACCACCAAAACCTCCACCCTGACGGCGTCCTCGCTCCCCGCAGCGCACCCGGCCCCCGCCGCCAAGGGCCTGGCCTCGTCCGCCGACAAGAAGAAGACCAAGCCGCACAGGACGGCGAGCACGGCGGGTGGGCGCAGGCCGGCGGGCGGGGAGGACACCACGTCCGGCGGCGGGCCCGACCTGGGCAGGAGCGGGCTGGCGCTCGCGGCCGCGACGGTGGGCGGAGCGGGGCAGGGCGTGACCGCGGCGTCGGACAGGGACAGCCGGCCCGACAGCGACAGCGCTCCAGGTAGGGTCAGCCCACCGCAGGCGTGGCGGGGTTGGTACACAAATTATTGCTGTTTGTTTACGTTTGTTTACCGGACCTGTTTGTTTACGGACCTCTGCGGCTGGTAATAAGTGCATTTGAGAGCTTGCGATTAATCTACACGAGACGAGCTCGGCAAAACGAAAGCACGAAGTCATGGCCCAGAAACGCCCCGGAGTTGCCGAGGCAACGAAAACATTTTCGGCGACGTAATTTGTGAACGTCCCCCTTATCGGGCGAGCCTTGCCACTGCCACCCACCCGCCCTCGCTGACGGGGGGCGCTGCTTGTGTGCCCACAGACGGCGCCGTGCTCAAGTCCAGCGTCACCAGCAGGACGCCGACGAAGCAAGGTGACGACGGTCTTCTCCAGGAAGGGACGGCGGTTGCCTTGCCGCGCGCCCTGCGGAGGGCGGATAGGCACCCCGGCGAGCGCAGCTGCTCGGCGGCCGGGCCGACTTCGCACTCGGGCGCCTCAAGGGGCTCCGGACCGCGCTTTTCCTCATTTCTTGCTCCCTTTCCTCCGTCGAAACCATAAGTCGGAATGACTCATTCTAATTTGTGCTGTCGTGCACGACATTGACGCCTTATTTCTTCGCTTTGAGAGTTGGTGGTGGACTATAATATCACGCCACCACGGCCCCGCGACCTTAATCCCTTTCGGTTCCCAGGCGCGTACCCGTTCCTCGTGGCCGTGCAGAGGATCTGCGGCAGCTGCCAGACGCGCCACTCGTGCGGCGGGGTGCTGCTGGCGCCCCAGTGGGTGCTGGGCGTGGCGCAGTGTGCCGAGACGCAGCCGGGCGAGTACCTCGTGGTGAGTAGCGAGTAGAAAGCATGTTCGGAAATCACGAGGACAATGAGGGGGGAGGGGGGTCCAAATATTATGTGGTCCCGAGAGAATCATGACGGTCATTAGAGTCCAATGTGACCCCATGGTATACATCCAATGATGTTCCTGATCCTTTTGGTACCCCATAATATTTGGACCACCCCATTGTCGACGCGGTTTCTCAACGGCCCCACAGAGCAGTCCACCCACTCACCCCTCTCCCCCCTTTTTTTGTGCTCACTGTCCAAGCCTTTCTATTTTAGTGTTTGTGAACGTGTGTTTGCCTGGGGGTTATCATCACTTTGATGTCGTCAGGTGCGGGCCGGCGAGAGCTTCATCTGGCCGGGTGGCCAGACTCCCACGCAGAAGGTCGTCGAGGTCGTCTGGCACGAGGCGCCCTCTTCCACGTACGAGCGGCCCACACACGATATGGGGGGGAAGGGGGAGGGGGGCGCAATTGAAAGCCTTTGGGGCCTTTATATATATTCTCAAAGAACCTTCCTTTAGACTTGGAGTTGCAGATAGTAGAAAACTGCCCTTGTATAGTACCCAATACATTTTATTAAAAAAATAGTATTTGATCATCAGGTCCTTTATGGGTCGTGAGTAAGAGAGGGTGGGGCTACTTGAGCCAGGGGGTGCCATGAGCCACAAGTGGTATTTCTATCACAGGACAACGCAGACCAAAACAAAAAATATTTAATTGTTAATGCTAGGCGGTCGTTTCCAGTGAGTCCTTGTTAAAATATCGTAATTTGAGTAGGCTACAGAGCCATGTAAATTTAAAATTTTCACATCTCTCGAAGTTTTTTTGTTGTTGTATAATTAAGAAACGCTTTTTTTACGCTCAACAGAGATGACTACCCGCGCTACGACTTGATCCTCCTGCGGCTGGAGAACCCGTTCACGTTCGGCGAGTTCATCAACGCCATCAACATGGCGCCGCCCAGCCACAGC